TCATCTGGAATAAAAAAAGACCTCGAATAGCTGCAGCAATCCTGAAAAAGACCAAAGTAGGTGGGATCTCAATACCAGATATCAAGATGTATTACAAAGCCACTGTTCTCAAAACTGCCTGGTACTGGCACAAGAATAGGCATATAGATCAATGGAATAGAATAGAGAGCCCAGAAATCGGCCCGAACCAATATGCTCAATTAATATTTGACAAAGGAGGCAAGAACATACAATGGAGCCAAGATAGTCTCTTCAATAAATGGTGCTGGGAAAATTGGACAGATATATGCAAGAAAATGAAACTAGACCACCAACTTACACCATACACAAAAATAAACTCAAAATGGATAAAGGACTTAAATGTACGACAGGAAACCATAAAAATTCTAGAAGAATCCAAAGGCAACAAAATCTCAGACATATGCCGAAGCAATTTCTTCACTGATACAGCTCCTAGGGCACTTGAAACGAAAGAGAAAATGAACAAATGGGACTACATCAAAATAAAAAGCTTCTGCACAGCAAAAGAAACCATCAACAAAACAACGAGAAAACCCACTGTGTGGGAAAACATATTTGCCAATGTCATATCTGATAAGGGCCTAATCTCCAAAATTTATAGGGAACTCATACAACTCAACAAAAGGAAGATAAACAATCCAATCAAAAAATGGGCAAAGGACCTAAATAGACACCTTTCAAAAGAGGACATTCAGAAAGCCAAGAGACATATGAAAACATGCTCAAAGTCACTAATCATCCAAGAGATGCAAATCAAAACAACAATGAGGTACCATCTCACACCTGTCAGACTGGCTATCATCAACAAATCAACAAACGACAAGTGCTGGAGAGGATGTGGAGAAAAAGGATCACTTGTGCACTGCTGGTGGGAATGCAGACTGGTGCAGCCACTATGGAAGACAGTATGGAGTTTCCTTAAAAAACTGAAAATGGAACTCCCATTTGACCCTGTGATCCCACTTCTAGGAATATATCCCAAGAAACCAGAAACACCAATCAGAAAGGATATATGCACCCCTATGTTCATAGCAGCACAATTCACCATAGCTAAGATCTGGAAACAGCCTAAGTGCCCATCAGTAGATGAATGGATTAGAAAACTGTGGTACATCTACACGATGGAATACTATGCTGCTCTAAAAAGGAAGGAACTCTTACCATTTGCAACGTCATGGATGGAACTGGAGAGCATTATGCTAAGTGAAATAAGCCAGTCAATGAAGGAAAAATACCACATGATCTCACTCATTCATGGATAATAGAGACCATTATAAACTTTTGAACAATAATAGATACAGAGGCAGAGCTGCCTCAAACAGATTGTCAAACTGCAGCAGGAAGGCCGGGGAGGGTTGCGGGGCAGGAGGTAGGGGGGTAAGAGATCAACTAAAGGACTTGTATGCATGCATAAAAGCATAACCAGTGGACATAAGACATTGGGGGATAGGGGAGGCTAGGGGACTGTCTAGGGCGGGGGGATAAAATGGACACATATGTAATACCCTTTGTAATACTTTAAGCAATAAAAAAAATTAAAAAAAAAAGCAAAAAAAAAAAAAAAACAAAAAACACACACACACAAAAAAAAAAAAAAAAAAAAAGAACCAAAAAAAAAAAAAAAAAAGAGGCCTGACGCCGAAACCGGTTTGGCTCAGTGGATAGAGCAGCCGTGGGCAAACTACAGCCCGCGGGCTGGATCCAGCCCGTTTGAAATGAATAAAACTAAAAAAAAAAAGACCGTACCCTTTTATGTAATGATGTTTACTTTGAATTTATATTAGTTCACACAAACACTCCATCCATGCTTTTGTTCTGGCCCTCCGGTCCAGTTTAAGAACCCATTGTGGCCCTCGAGTCAAAAAGTTTGCCCGCCCCTGGGATAGAGCGTCGGCCTGCGGACTGAAAGGTCCCAGGTTCGATTCCGGTCAAGGGCATGTACCTGGGTTGTGGGCACATCCCCAGTAGGAGGTGTGCAGGAGGCAGCTGATCGATGTTTCTCTCTCATCGATGTTTCTAACTCTCTCTCTCCCTTCCTCTCTGTAAAAAATCAATAAAATATTTTTTTTAAAAAGAGGCCTGATGTGCAAGCAGACCAGCACATCCTCTTCTTGGTGAATGTTGTTGCAAAGCCCAAGGAAGGAGGAGACAGCCTAATGCATGGCACGTGTGCTCAGCCTCCTTCCATCCTACGTAATAAAAGCAAAATATGCAAACTGAGTGAACAGCAGGACAACTGCTTGGCAGGGGGTGGGGCTGGTGAGCAGGGCTATCAGGCCAGCCAGGGCGTGTGCCAGCAGGCAGAGGGAGGGGATGGCAACAGGGGGATGAGGGTGGAGAGCAGTGGCAGGGTTATGGGGGGGCAGGGCTGGCTGCTCACTGGCTGGCACTGTCCCCTGATCGGCCTGCCAGTCGCCTCCTACAGAGGGAGGCTAGACTGTAGCTTAGGCCCGCTCCCCAGAGGGAGCGGGCCTAAGCAGCCAGTCGGATATCCCCTGAGAGCTCCCAGACTGCGAGACTCCCGAGCTGAGGGACCCCCTCAAGTGTACAAATTTTCAGGCATCAGGCCTCTAGTTACTTTATAAAGTTACTTCTCCACTTATCTGAGAAAATGTAGACGCCATTCAAGAGAACATAACATTGAGGGGACATCTGTAATACTTTCCACAATAAAGATACATTTTTAAAAAATGAACAAATGATCTGGAGGCATTTCTCCAAAGAAGACCTATAAACGGCCAATAAACATAAAAAGATGCTCAACATCATTAGTCATTAGGGAAAGGCAAATGAAAACTTCAATAAAACAACACTTCATACCCTCCAGGATGGGTATCATCGAAAGTTCAGATAACAACAAGTGCTGCCAAGGATGTGGAGAAATTAGAATCATCATCCATTACTAGTGCAGCCACCTGGTAGAACAGCTGGAAGGTTATCAAATGCTAAACACCAAGCTACCATGTGACCCAGAAATTCTACCACTAGGTATATACCCAAGAGAACCGAAAGCACGTTCACACAATAACATGCACATGAATGTTCAGAGTAGCATTGTTCACAATAGTAAAAAAGTAGAAACAAAACATCAATTGATAAATGGAGGAATACGATGTGACATATTCATTCAATAAAATATTATTCAGCAATAAAAAGGAATAAAGTCCTGATTCATGCTACAACATGGATGAACTTCAAAAACATGCTGAGTGAAAGAAGATACAAAAGACTCCATATTATCTGATCACATTCTTATGAAATGTCCAGAATAGCCCTAATGTACAGAGATAGGAAGTTGATTTGTGATGGCCTATAGGGCTGGAGAGGTGGGGGATATGGGAGTGGCTACTAATGGGTTTCAGGGGGAGGGTGTGGGATGAAAATGTTCTAAAATTGAATGTAGTGATGGTTGTACAGCTCTGTGAATGAACTAAAAACCATTTAATTGTACACTTTAAACTGTGCAGTATGTGAATTATATCTCAGCAAAACTGCTATTTTGAAAAAGTGGGGGGAAATAAATCTGCACCAAAAAAAGACCATGACATTGAAATCATACCCATCAGTAATGAAAATGGCTGAGATTAGCTCTGATATGTAAACTGCTGTTAAGTGAAAAAAGCATTCAATGCAAATTTAAGTTTACCCCACCAGCTGTGGTAAAGATACACACTCCTGCCTGTTAAATGAGGCCCTTAACTCTGATTTTAGTCCCTTCTAGTGTCTCCTGTGGTATCAGGATGGCTATGTCCAAAACTGCACTCCTGGGGTGCTCTTTAAGAACTGAATTGTTGCCCTGGCCAGTGTCGTTCAGTGGTTGGAGCATCAGCTTGTGCACCAAAAGGTCACAGGCTCCATTCCTGGTCAAGGGCAGGTACCTGGGTTGCAGATTTGATCCCCAGCACCCTGGCGGGGGGAGGGGTGCATGCCAGAGGCAACCAATCAATGTCCCCCCCCCCCCCCCCCGCTCCTTCCTTCCCTCTCTCTGTCTCTCTTACCTTCCCTCTCCCACTCTCTCTAAAAATCAATGGGAAAAATATCTTTGGGTGAGAATTAACAACAAAAAAAGAACTGAATTCTAAATCACATGTCCTGCTCTTGGAGTACTGTTCACATATTTTAAAAGAGCTGGGCCCATGGAATGGGTGGAAGGGCTACTGTCCACTGGAAGACTGAGCCATTCACCTAAATGTCTCTACGATTGTGTTTCAATGAAGGTTTTTGACAGAAACCTTATAGGAGGTTCTGGCTCCACCACCCGGGGCTGCGATTCTGACTTTGCTTACATCTGTACTTTGCCCCAGAACACATGACATGACCCCTCTGGCTTCACACAACATTTTGCAAAACAATGTGATAAGTCTGGTGGATTTCCTGAGATTGTTGCAAATATTAACTACAAGAAGCAAATCTAGTTCCCGGTAGTTACAAAATAAAACTTATAATAGATTAGTGAACAGAAAATGACCATTGTGCTGATATATTCTGCCATATAACCCATCACTGGGAACTGTACTGATCTGTGGCTTACTGCTGGGGTTCAACTACTCCTGTTTGGGATAAACTGGTAAGTTTCAAAAGGTCAAGAGGCACTTGTAATAGATGGAAATAATATACAAGCTTTTGTCATGTAGCTTCAAACAGCCACCAAAACAGAACCCAAGAGTTTGTATTATTATAAGAGACTCAGTTTAGTTTGAGCTGGATGTCCCCCGAAAAGGCAAAAAAAAAAGAGGCTCGTTTCTTTATTTTACACAAGCAGCCTATGCAAGAGCACAAACACATGTGTCATGCACACACTCACTGACGTGCCTCGCACACTCACGCCCTATGTTTACATTATTGGAAATGTAGCTACTCCAGGACCTCTATTCCTGATAATGAACCACGACAAACTTGATTTCTCTTTCTTTTGATCACTCTACCCTTCCAGACTTTTCTGAAGAAGAAAGAAAAAGAGAGACACCAGGGGTACATACCTGACACAGAAGTATAAAACCACTGGTCCTGACTTTTTGGGAAAGTCGTGTTCTAAGACTCTTCGATCCAGCTGGAGCCAGTTTAAGTGTCCCCTGAGGAAAATAAAGACAAATTGATTAGGGCTTTGGATTTTATAGAATTTCTTGTAACAAAGGTATATGTAGAGCAGAATATGCTGGATCATAGTTGAATATGGACCTTTGCCTCACTATGAAGTGTTCAATATTTGAAGAACCCAGAGGAGTGACCTAGGGAACATGCATGAGTGGGAGATACCGTGCGACACAAGGGAGGAGACTGACACTCAGAATGTCAGGGGTCGGAGCCCTAGCTGGTTTGGCTTAGTGAATAGAGCATCGGCCTGTGTACTGACGGGTCCTGGGTTCAATTCTGGTCAATGGCACATGCCTGAGTTGTGGGCTTGATCCCCAGTAGGGGGTGTGCAGGAGGCAATCAATCAGTGATTCTCTCTCATCATTGATGTTTCTGTCTCTCCTTCCCTCTCCCTTCCTCTCTGAAATCAATAAAAAAAATTAAAAGAGAAAGTCAGGAGTTGGAGACCTGCCGTCCATTTCTTAGACTACGCTAAAATTAAAGGGTACTGTGCTCCCTCTCGTTCTGAATTCCCTTTCTACCTGGCTGTGGACAGCTTTTTTCCCAAAGGACTCAAAACACACTTTAGAAACATGTCAGCAACTTCACAATATCTTGCTGGAAGCAGATGGGTTGAAAAGCCAATAACAGATAATTTCATAAGAAATTAAAGTTACATCTACCATATGAGCTAGCCATTCTTCTCCTAGGTGTTTACCCAAGAGAAATGAAAGCATTTGGCCATGCAAAGACTTTTACACACAGATGTTCAGAGACACATTATCTTTCATAGCTCAAAACTTGAACAACCCAGATGTTTATCAACAAGAGGAATGTATAAACAAATTATGATATAATTATGTAATAGAATACTATGCAGCAATAAAGACTACTGATATACACAGCAACATATATGAATCTCAAAATAATTATGCTGAGTAAAAGAAACCAGACTAAAAAAAGAGTACAAATTCTGTAATTCCATTTATAAATAGCTCTAGAAAGTGCAAATTAATCTACAATGACAGAAAGCATTGTGGTTGCCTGGGGAGGGAGTGAGAAGGAAGGGTTGGAGGGCATAAAGAAAAGTTTAGGAGAGTGATGGATTATGTTCATTATCTTGATGGAGGGGGGTTTATTGGTGCATATGTGTCAAAACTTATCAAATTTTATACTTTAATATGTAACATTTGTTGCATGTCAGTTGTACCTCATTATAGCTATTTTAAACAGTGAACCACAGATACTTGATACACAAATGGAGTGACTTGTGCATTCCTTTCTTCCTCCACTCCCTCCATCTCTTCTTTTCATTAATGTCAACTGACCACCTTCTCTGACAAAGGGTCTGGAGAGGAAGCAGGGAGCAAAAAAAACATGATCCCTTTTCCCCTCGAGCTTATATGCTTGTACAGAGGCACTCAACCACTATTTCCACAATTAATTACATACTAACTAATAGTATTAGGACTATGACTTATGAGAACATGTAAGGATCTGATCTAGTTTGGGGGTCTGAGAAGCACTCCTGGCGTTTGAGTGAGATTTGAAGAATGAAAAGAGTTAACTCAGCAAAGAGGAAGGGGAATCACTTTCTAAGCAGAAGGGCCAGCATATGCAAAGGCCCTGAGGTGTCATGCGAGGAGGAAGGGGTAAGGCTGGAGAGAGGCAGAGACCAGCACCTGCGGCCTTGGAGGCCACGGTGAGGACATTGGTCTTTGAAGAGTGAGGCAGAGCCGTGTTACAAGTATGTGCAGAAAAGTCTACCCATTTTTTTCTCCTCTCCTCACCCAACCTCAGTCCAGCATCCTGGAGCCCTATAATCACGGTTACTTAGTAAACTCATGTTGAACAGACACAACTGATTGTACAAAATCCCTTCAGGTGCCCGGTGCTACATGACTCCGATGTTTAGAGTGCACAGACACATGTGGAAGGCTGGCACTTATTCTGTGGAGGATGAGAAGCAAAAGCTGTCTGCATTGCCCAAGTACAATGTTTGCTCCCTCAAGCACATGCTGGCCTCCAAAAAATGAAAGAAAACACAGTAGGAGCTCCCATCTCTATTTTAAAAATTCATTTAAACTGTATCTTTTACACACACAAAATAAATCTCTCTTTCACTTCAGCCCACACCTGTGGCCTAAGGATGATGTTTGGATTTGCTCTTTTCCCCTTCTTTTGAGAATCTCCATCTGGAAATAGATTTTTTTCTATAAACTTTTTTTTTTCATTTTTGGTTACTCTTCTCTGAATATAGTAAGGGTGAAAAATAACAGGAAAAACATTTTTTAAGCTCTGGCTGGTGTGGTGCAATGGTTGGAGTGTCAGCCCAAGCACCAAAGGGTTGCAGGTTCGATTCCCAGTCCAGGGCACATACCTGGGTTGCAGGTTCAATCCTTGGCTCTGGTCAGGGTATGCGCAGGAGGCAACCAATTGATGTGTCTCTCTCACATCAATGTTTCTCTCTCCCTCTCATATCTTTCCCGCTTTCTCTCTCTATCCTTCTCTCCTTCCTTTCCACTCTCTTTAAAAAGCAACAGAAAAAAAATATCCGCTGGTGAGGATTAACAAAAAAAAGTTTTTAAAGTAAAATGACTGAACTAACTTCTTCCAGAAATGGATAAATTCCCAGCCAACTAGAATACAGACCTGGAAAGAGAAGGCAGGAGTGCCAATTTCGTTTCTGGTAATACTGAAAATGGTGACCTCTGTGCCTTAGCTCATGTTGTTCCCTCTGCCTAGAATGCCCTTCCTCTCCTTAATCACCCAGCGAAGTCCGACCCATCCTTCTAGACCTAGCTCTCCTGTGCCTCCTCCAGAAAGTCTTCCCTGATGCACCCCCCCAACACACACACCTGCCTGGGACAGGACTCTCACAGCACTCACCCTGGGCACACCTCTACTGCGGCATTTCCCGCAGTCCATAGAACTTACTTTGTGTATGCATTCTTTTCCCCCAATAGTTTTTTACATCTGAAAAATAAAGCAAAATGTACCTCATAAAGTAAAAGTGTTTTTGATCAACTAACAGGGGCGGGGAACCTTTGTTCTGCCAAGGGCCATTTGGATATTTATATCGTTCTCGGGACATACAAGATTAACAACATAAAAATTAGCCTGCTTATATTTGGTCAAACATTTAATTAACTCACCCCTAATGCCTTGGCAGGGCCAGACCAAATGATTTCACAGGCTTTACACGGCCCACAGGCCGGGCATTCCCCACCCCTGAACTAGAAGGTGTTAAGACAAATGTGAGACCTAATTATTGGGGAATAAGAAGCTCCAGCCACTCCTTTCCTGCCTCTGAAAATGTCCCAAACCTCCCAGGATCTTCTCCGCGTGCCCAGCATCCTGCACACACGCCACATGCACGCTCTGCACGAAGACTTTGATCACGCTGTTGCTTATAATTGGAACAGTCTCTCCATCCTTTCATCTGAACGATAGCCATTGTTTGAGGCTGAGCTCAGTATAGACCTTTAGTGAAGTCTGCCTTGATTGCCTAAGTCTGGGCTTTCTTTCAAACTTCTCCAGAGCTCCTGGTTTGTGTCGTCTGCAAGGCATTTATAGCACAGTCGTGTACAATTAGTTATTTAAAAAAATATGATCTCTCTCCAGATATGTCCTAAGTTTTCAACATTTAAAAAAAAATCCCAGAACCTAGCACAAGACCTGGCAAATACTAGCTGCTCAAAAGCCCTTGCTCTTTGATTGGATGACTGCCTCCAAAAGCGATGGATCTGTGCCCAGATCTTAATTTATAAAGGGGACTGAGTGACCACATGCAGAGGCCAATGCCCTGGAAGGTAAAACTGAATCTTACTCACTAGAATGAGAGGCACACCACGACGGGCATGGCCATGAGGGGAAGCGCCAGGGCTGGTCCTGAGGCAGGAAAGGAATGAGGAGGCACAGGCAGAGCCTTTACTGGGGTTTCCATGGATGTCAAGACAAGGGCAAACCGCTCAGGTTGGCTAGTTTGAATAACTCTGGCAGCCTTAGGGGGTATAGAGCTGTCCTGGCTCTCTGGTCCCTGGCCCTGGGTCAGTGATGGCGAACCTTTTGAGCTCGGCGTGTCAGCATTTTGAAAAACCCTAACTTAGCTCTGGTGCCGTGTCACATATAGAAATTTTTTGATATTTGCAACCATAGTAAAACAAAGATGTATATTTTTGATATTTATTTTATACATTTAAATGCCATTTAACAAAGAAAAATCAACCAAAAAAATGAGTTCGCGTGTCACCTCTGACACGCGTGTCTTAGGTTTGCCATCACTGCCCTGGGTTGATTTGGGGCAGGGGAACTATTGGCTTGTGTGTGAGGCCTAGATAGAGGGAGTGGTTCCGAGTATGGGCTCTGGACAGCAGGAGAGATGTGAGTAGCTTCCACTGTGAGTTTGGCTCTGCAATTAATGGGTGCTAAATAAATACAGAATCTAAGAAAACACATACAAGCAACCCATCCAATGGCCACATAGATTTAAATGCATTCTTTTGCCTGTCAATGATTCTTGATAAATGGTCTGAGGGAAAGAACCTTTTCATGATGCTCAAGAGATAAGTCCTGCTCCCACCGCAGGGGCACAACAGGCGGCTGGGAATTCCACGTGGCCTCGAGGGGCACAGTTCACTTGCTGAAGAACCTCAAAGTGGGGACATTTGCATGAGGGGTCACTGAGACAGGTACCACTCTGTTGGGTTTGCTGCTGGCCTTTCTTCTTCATCCATGTTCACGGAGGCCAAATGGAGGGGTGGATTCCCTCTCTGGATAATTTTACCCCCATACTAAACTTTTTAAAAGGATGACATTTTAGCAATGGATTTATTTAACTGGCAATTCCTTTCTCCCCAGCATATATTGGCTTATCATTTATCAAACAATAAACTGATTAGAAAGTATGAAAATGTCAGCAAGCAGAGAGAACAAGGAGGGCAGAATCACCCCTAAATGGAATAAGGAAATAAATTTCCTTTCTCCACTCCCTTATTTG